CCCGCCCCTCCCAACAGCTTGCTCGGTAGCCGCTTCCGGCCGGCGCGTGCAGCCCCGGGGCGCTCCTTCAGCGGTTCTGCTGCGAGGCGGGGCGTCGCCGAGAAAACGTCACCAGCGCGCATCCCCGAAGGCACGGAAACGAATCAACACTACTTTAGTCTGCAGTGAGGACAGGGTCAGCCCCGGGTGGGGAGCCTGAGTGCAAAGCAAACCGCACACTGGGCGGTGGGCATCTACTTCCTCAGAGAAGCAGCAAGGTCATTCTGAGAGAGGGGGTGCTCAAGAGGGCACCCCCAGAACAATGCTCAAGCTTCAGGCTAGGCTCAGGCCAACTCTTCCATCCCTGTCTCCAGTGCCCGGCCACCCCGGCCCTCTATGCCAATGCTGTGCCACTATTAAAGGACCTGGTACTGTAGGATACTGGAGAAATTCGGAGTGAATGAATATTTTTAGAAAATTGTAAATGCCAATGGATTACCTTGAAATCGGAAAATACACTCAAATGCTAAAATAACGACAGCAGAGGCTTGTTAAGGAAGGTGTTGAGAATGGAGTTGATACAAAATCAAATAACGTTTTCATGATATAGCAAAAGCCTGTGACGGATGTATTGAGAGAATAGTGTGGCTTTTGCTGAAAGCAGTTTTCTTTATGGAAAGAATTTTATAGCAGAGGCAAATGTATAGATGCAATAACAAAAAAAGGTTTTTGGAATATCCCCTTCAGAGGCTAAAAAAAAAATCAGGATTTTTTTGCCATTAATTTTGCAAGTATTTTTCAAATATGTCGAATAAACAAGCATCTTATTATGGCAGGAAAACAGGCTTAAAAATAGAAAAACTTGTTTGATCTTCCTTGATTTGTCTCAACAATTTCCAAAGAAAACTGGCTTCATATACTTGTATGGGTACATCCAACTGAGGTCTGGGAAAGAAAATTAAAATTGAACAACTTGCTTTTTTCTTTCTTGATTTTTCTGAACAATTTCCATGGAAGCTTTTGCCTCATAGAGTGGAATGGGCTCATCAAGTAGCGGTCTGAGGAGGAAGAATGATTAGAAATGTCAGGCACAGGCACAGATGAGTGGAATACACATGCAGCAGGTCATACATTTGGTTACAGTTTGATTGTATTCATCTAAGTAATCCAAACAGCTTGGTAGTGGCACATTCCTTTAGTCCATCACTGGAGAGGCAAAGGCAGGTGAATCTGTGAGTTCCAGATCAGCCTGAGCTATTCACCTATCAAAATAAATAACTAAATGAAAATTAAAATCCAAACAAAATTACAAACTCATCCATTAATATTTTTATGGTTTTAAAGAAGTAGTAATTTTCTTCCTCTTTCTTTCTTTCTTTCTTTCTTTCTTTCTTTCTTTCTTTCTTTCTTTCTTCTTCTTCTTCTTCTTCTTCTTCTTCTTCTTCTTCTTCTTCTTCTTCTTCTTCTTCTTCTTCTTCTTCTCTCTCCTCTCTCTCTC